CCGGTCCTGCTCTCTCCCTGGCCTTTGTTCCCGGCTGACAGCTGGGGCTGCTCCGACCTCCCCGATACTCCGCGCCCACGGACCGCGCGGCTCCCGCTGCCCAGTTTCTCCACTCCCGCGTCCACCAGACCCCACCCGGGGTCCCGCCTGCTCAGCTCGGCCTTTTTCCCTCTCCCAGCTTTCCCGTCTTGCACTGTCTCCTTCACCCCTTTTACACTACCTGCTTTCTTCGGATTTCCTTTACATTCCCTCTCCTGCTCTTTTTCTCTGAACTCCCCTCTTCTTTAGTGCCCCTACCTCTTACCAGTCTCTTATCCTCAGCACTCGTGCCCCACCCCCAACCTCAGCAAAAGGCTGAATTTCTTGGCTCAAGGATCAAACTATCAGCCTAGTGAGGGGCATTGCCTCATGGTGCGGCACTGACAGACAGACTGGAGCCTGGAGAGCCCGCGCTCCAACATTACAATTCAAAGTTTTCCAAGTCTGAAGTCGAGCCTGCTGACGCAAGCCAGCAACCCCAGATGTTACAGAAGCTGAAACAGGAGGATCACAAACTCAAGGCCTGGTTGGGAAACAAAATGAGTTCAAGGCCAGCCTAAGCAACTTGGGGAGCTCCTGTCTCAAAATGTAAAGTTAAAAGAAGAAGGAAAAAAGTAGCTTAGTAGTAGAGCCCGTGCCTAGCATACCCGAGGTCCTAAGTTCAATGCCCAGAACCACAAGACAATTGCACACTTTTCCATTGCCTGTCTGAGGGTGACCGAGATGAACATTCTGAAACCCAGGGAGTGTCAGCCCAACCCAGAAAGGGGTTTGTGGAAAGGGGAGATGAATGGAAATCAGCCTGGAGTCACACCTCAGATTACAAATAGAATAGGGGAAGACAGGCCAAAGGGAAACAAGCTGGCCCCCTTGAACCACTCCCCTGCCCCAAATCCTGTAGGAGACCCTTGATGCTGCTTCCTGGTCTTGATCCTGAAGACCCCTATCTTCAATTCTAGGCTTCCTGAATACAGGAAAGAGTTGTTTTTTGATTTTTATTTATTTTTTTTTAAAAAAAACAAAACCACAAACAAATAGAAAACCCAGTCTGTAATCCCAGTTCTTGGGAGGCTGAGGTAGAAGGACTGTTACCAGTTTCAATGCAAGCTGGGCTACATAATGAATTTAAGACCAGCCTGGGGTACATGGTGAAACTTTCTGAAAGCAAAACAAAATGTGGTTGACAAGATGGCTTAATAAATAAAAGTGCCAGCCACCAAGACTGACAACTTGAGTTTCATCCCTGGGACCCATATGGTGGAAGGAGAGAACTCTGGAGTTGTCCTCTGACCTCTGCACATGTGCTGTGGCACGCATGTGTGTCGTCCCCCTCCCCCAAATAAACTAATAGAACAACTTAAAAACAGACAAATAAAAAGGTAAAGATAAAAGTGTAGGTAGAGGCCGGGCGTTGGTGGAGCACACCTTTAATCCCAGCACTCAGGAGGCAGAGGCAGGCAGATCTCTGTGAGTTCACAGCCATTCTGGTCTACATAGTGAGTTCCAGGACAGCTGGAGCTACAGGAAGACCCTGTCTCAAAAAAAGGCCAAAAAAACAAAAGTGTAGGTAGACCCTACATCACTTGAGCCAGCGTGTGGCTTCCCTACCAGTCACTTTCTTCATTTGTAAAATGGGGTAAAAATCCCCAGAATCTAACCTCCAGGAGGGCAGGAACTTGTACTGTTTTGTTCATCACTGAGGACTTGGTCTAACACATAGGCAATACATTTCTGTTAAATGAATGGGTTCCTAGGTTACAGCCTTGCTGCCAGGATTGAATGGGAGCCCCTGCCTTGTAGAAAGAACATATGCACCAGCCCAGCATAGTGGCACATGCTGTAACCCCAGTACTCAAAATACTGAGATAGAAGGATCACTCTAACTCTAACTTCAAGCCCAGGCCAGCCAGGGCTACATAAAGTGATCCTGTCTCAAAAAGCCAAAACCAAAGATACCCAACTGCAAGTAATACCCAATTACAAGTAATGCTGCAATGTCTGTATGCACCCAGAAAGTCTTAGCCCTCTCTCACCATCACCTCCCTGTTCTCACTGTGTATCCTCCTGCCCTTGAGTCTGAGAAGGGCTAAGCCTTTCTCATATTCCTCTAACTCTACCTGTCAAAGTTCTAGACCTAGAATGCCACCCTCACCCACAACTTCTGCGATCACCAAACACAGACTGATGCCTCTATTGGCTAAAGACATGTGTCTCTGTGCTCCTCTCAAGAACACCCACTTATAGAGTCCCAGAAATGCTTGCTGAACAGGAGGCTACATACCAACACTTCTGGCACACAAGCATAACAGTAGACTCAGAAGGTCAGGGGTCAGGTGGACTTCAGACCTCAGTCAGACTTGGTTTTGTGTCTTCCAATGTGGCATTCTGTGGAACTAGCAAAGGAACCTGCAAGCCTTCTCCCAGGTCTGGCCCTATCACTGGTTATTGGTATGCTGTTGTACCACACAAGTCATGTCCTCGGCTAGACCTCATTCTCCTTTTCTGCCAAGTGGGTAGTTTGGATGAGACACTTTTTTTTGTATGAGATATGGTCTCAGTAATTAGCCCAGGTCCGCCTTGGACACCAGATCCTCCCTCCAAGTGCTAGGGTTACAAGTATGTATCTCTACTCTTCCTGCAGCCCTGACAGCTCTGTCAGAGATACTGTGGGTAGAAAGTTGGGCATTCCTCATTAGGCAGAATGTGGGCAGTGTGTTGGTGGTATATGGAGACTAGAACTGGATACACCCTAGGGAAGGGATACTTCAGAGATAAAGTGGGGTGCATTCAGAGTGGAGGAGGCAGACTGATGGGAGGAAACCTGTGATGGATAGAGTGGAATTCGTGTGTGGTGTGTGTGTATGTGTGTGTGCAAGTGTGCATGTATATATGCTTTCATATACAAACGTCTCAGAAATATAACTGGCTCCTTATTTGTTGGGTATGACACTGCAATCCTGGATGTTCCCACAAAGTGGCTCCTGCTTTTCCTCATTAAGTGAAGGCAGCACCCCTCACCTTGTCCTTTGCCTGAGTCAGATCTAGAAAGGTGGATCACAAAACCTGTGGTTGTAGCTATCTGTGGTGGTCCATATTGGCAGATAAATGCCCAAGAGGATGAGGCAGGAGGATTTGGAGTTCAAAGCCAACCTGGGATACAAAGCCTATGGTTTCAAAAGTCCTGCTGTCCTCCTTGTCTACCTATTCCCTGAGCTACAATCTTCTTGCTCTGGTTTGTCTCTCTTCATCTCTGGGACCTACAGTAGACCACAAAGGACCAGTGCCATGAACCATTTAAACCAGTAGCTTGTCTGGATGACAAACAACTTGTCCTGGTCAATGAACTTTCACATAACATAACTGAAATCGCTGATGGACTTCTGGTTTGTCTCTCCTATACGTTTCCTGTTCTAAGATTATATCCTTTTTATTGACATCAGCTTCCTAAAAGCCATCACACTGATGATACGCAACAAGCTCATACACACAAATATCCTTGAGTGAATGCTATGAGGGGTAGGATGAAGCATGCCGGATAGGATCTCAAAAAGGGTTTTGGAGTCAGATTCTGAGGACCCATATCTAGCCCCACAGCTTCAAAATTAAAGTCTTGTCATAACCTTTTTAAAAAATCTTTTTAAAAAAATTTTTATTATTTTATGTGTATGAGTATATTGCCTGCATGTGTATAAGTACACCCATGTCATGCAATGCCTGTGGGGTCGGAAGAGAGCATTGAATTCCCCTGGAACTAGAGTTTGGAGGCTTGTTAGCTACCATATGGGCACTGGGAATTGAACCCAGGTCTTCTGCAAGAGCAGTCAGTGCTCTTAACCACTGAGCCATCTCTCCAGCCCTTGCCAAACCCTTTTTAAGACTGAATTTTCCATCAGCAAAATGGGTCTAGTAATACTTGACCTATCTATCCTTCTGGCAATGGTGACACAGTGAAAAAAAATAAAATCAAAGATGGCATGAATATAAAATGTCACTTAGTTGTTTAACATTATCGTAAATATCAAACTAGGACTTTGTGTTGGGAGATAAGAAAGACTGACTATATTTAAGTAAGTCTGGTGACACCCCAAACGTTGAGGAGAGAATGTGAGAGGGCTACTGAGTGAAGGTCTAAGGGACCACAGTCTGCATCCACCAAGAAGGCTGGCATTCATGCAGATTAAGCTACATTCCTGGTCTTAGAGGCCAGGCATGTCCCCAGTGTGTCCTGCCTCCCTCTAGGGTAGAAGGGTTCCCTGAGTAGTCCTTGCTGTGTAACTCTCATAACCAGAATGCACTTTTCTTCCTCCTCCTCCTCCTCCTCCTCCTCCCCCTCCTCCTCCTTTTATTGCTGGGCTCCTCCTCCTCATTATTATTATTATTGTTATGATAACAATCAGTAGTAACTAATTAGTAGCAGTAGTAGTAGTAAGTAGTAGTAGTAGTAGTAGTAGTAGTAGTAGTAGTAGTAGTAGTAGTAAGCTCTCAGGTAGTCCACATTGACTTCAAACTAACTATGTAGAGGAGAATGATCCTGAGCTTCTAATCTTCCTGTGTCCATCTCCCAAGTGCTGGGATTTACAGGCATGAGGGGCCTGGCTTATGAGGTGCTGGATCACGGTTCACATAGTGCTAGGAATCCAACCAAGAATTCATGTTTCTCACCTGTAAGGTCCCAGGGCACCTCTTAACCTCTTATCTCTGCGTGACAGGAAACTTCTTTGACTTGGGGAACATAACCCTTTTCTGCCTTCTCTAGCTCTCCTGGAGATAAGAGAGATAGCATTCATAGTATTTCTTCTTTCCTAGAAAGTGCTGCTGGCTTCAAGGACTTGCTTATTGCCCTCCTCCTTATCATTA